GCTACTGTTACATGAAGAGGGACTTCAAACATGCAACAATTAACTGTATTTAGTATTCCTTAATTTAAAACATTTCATGGCAAAGTATTTTTTGGCAATCTTTTTTTTTTTTTTTTGTCAGAAAAATTTCTTTTTTTTACAGAAGAATTCAGAATTCATTGAGCATGATAAACGGATCGAACATCCATCAGAAGATGCGCTCTCAACCGAATCAACGCCAACACCTTTACCATCACCTTACCTCACTGCAAATGTCTGCTCGACAAATCAGTTCAATTTTCAAAATGGCAAGGAACAGTTTAAAATTCAACTTATGTTTATTTTTATTTTAAGCAACGGATGCAAATTTTCCTGTAGATTTAACATGGGAGATTTATCAAAATGCTTCACCCCAATTTATTGCAAGTTAAATATCTATGATATTATCACAGAAAAAAGAAAAAAAAAACATATTGCGATATTAGCGATGGTCTCTTCTTGCTTCTGTTTTCCCACCTTTCCTTTTATCGATCCTGTCTCTTTTTACCGTCTAATTCCTCGCTTCTTTAAGGTAGCCAAAACTACAGCGATAATTCTTGCTGTAATCATAGTGAAAGATATGAAAATGAGTGATTGAGATAATTGATTGTGAAGTTACCATTGCTTTTTTTTGCAGGAATATATACAGTCATCAGCTCCAACAATTATTGTGCAGTGCCCTTCAAGTTGTAACTCACCGGGCCATCCATCAGATTCAATGTTACAATGCAAATGTGACAGTAATAAATCTTCATCAATATTGTCATCAACCATTACAAGCAGGTAAAACAATAAATATAAAGATGCTGCTGTTCTTTTAGTAGTATAAAATTTTGGAATATATCAGATCAAGTCAATGCTTTATCACGAACATATCTATATGCAAATTACTTAATTTATAATGATTACCAATTAAATCCTCAATAATTTAATAAATGACCATTGCTTTTAGTTATCCGGATTTGCTAACACATCCCAGTACAACCTTATCTGGTTTGGAAGAAAAAAGTAAAAACTGTGATTTCTCGACAGTAATTTAGTTTCTAAAGTAAATATTATATGTTGTCAGACTAGTCAATTACAAATACTATGCTAGTAAGGTGTGTCTTACTGTGTCTCTTCTCAATTTTATCTCTTTTTTAAAATTAAGCAATCTGTAGCATTGTAGAAAAAGCAAATTTTCGAAAGATATTACATGTATCTGTAAGAGTGATTAGATATGAACATATAAGACAGAGAGAGAGAAAACCAAATCCAGATAAATCTTTTGAAGAATTGGAAAAGCGGAAGTGATGCAAAGTTTACAGTTGTGTCCTTTAAATTTCCAAAAATCAGTCAAATTAATAAGTCATAGTTTTAATCTGTAAGATAATCAAGTTGCAATCATTTGCAGTGTATGAAAAATATCTAAATAATTATTTTATCTTTGGTCTGATTTAATTAATTTTATCAGAAGAATTTTTCGATAATTGAAGGAAAATTCAAATGTGTTCCATGAAGTTAAAATAGTGTAGCACATTCATAACAAGACCTTTTTTTTATGAGGAGGTAAAAATGATTAATTCTGATTAAAATATGAAGAGATAAAATTGAAAGATTCCTGCCAAAGATAACATTCTGTCCTACCCACCCATCCACTCAACATCTTTTATACTTGCCAAGAAGGATACTGATGATACTGCAAATAGCATGCAATGCAATTCTCCTCGATTTACCAAATTTGGAAGCAATCATTTATATTTTCATTACTTCTTTTTTTTTATTAAACCCTACACTGATAAAATGATCCCAATGAACTGTGAACAGTTTGTAATGAAAGTGAAAAACGCTCAATTCTTTGATTCACGCAATAATCATGCCATTTAATTTAGACACTTCATGAATTTTCATCTTTTTTTAATATTATTAACAAAATTTGCTTGAATTCTGAATGAATTGTCATGCTTTGATGTAGTTATAAAATGTATAATGTGTGGAAAAGGAATCCGTTCGTTTTTTTTGATTTATTTCAAAAGAGTTCACATTATTCGGAAATATTCATTGTACAAAAAAGTCAGGCAAAATAGCATTCGTCTGTAAAGCAAACATGATTATGATATCATTTTCAAGAGAATATATGTCCTTTGCTGTCGTCTTAACACCTTAACAGAATTTTTAAACACCTTAACAAAAACAGAATTGAATTTTTAATACCTTAACGGAAAACAATTGAATTTCCTTTAAAAATTTCTCTTTCTGCATAGAATTCGTACAATTAGTTTGCTATTTTCCATATCATTGATGATGTTACCAAACAATAATTTCAGGGATTTCATTTATTTTTTTTCCAAGATATCGCCATGTAATAGTTTAGTAACAAGTGAACAATCAGTGGCTCAAATTCAGCAAATTCGTTTTTATTAGCATGTAAGAATGAGTCCTCTTATCGGTGATTACGGTTGACAAGAATGAAGGGTCAATAAATGAGGGAAAATATCATACCTTGGACTAATCGATCTACACTTGTCGGTTGCTTTCAAAATCAACTAATATTGCTACATAAAAATTCATCTCACAAAAATGTGGGGTGATAATGGCGATTATGCGAAGTTGATCGACATGACCCCATCCATCTTCCTCTTGCATTTGTTCCTTTGCACAAAAGAAGGAATAAAGAGGGGAAGAAAAAGCATCCTATCGATGTTGATGTCATCATGACTCATCCTGATTTCACCGATCAACAGATTGATAAATGATGACATGTGCTGATCTGTTGACCGATGAAATCAGTGTATGCAATTGCATTAAGCTTTTTTCCAATTAGCTAAGGATTTGCTTGATTCAATTTAATGAATGATGCAAGAAGAGTTAAACATTTTTCAAATTCATGCCGCAACAAAATCAACAATCTTTGGTCGATTACTTTTATATATATAAAAAAAAAAGAAGCAATTGATTTTTTTTCGTGAAATTTTTGCTTTTTTAAAGTCTTCATTAGTTCCACTACCAAAATGCATTCATTTTACAACGACATAATGTCCTATTAGCCGTGTTGAAAAATGGACGAGAAATATTATGCGAATGCAGCGCTGAAATATTACTTACATTTTGAAGTAGTTTATACCGGATCCCGGATGGCAATATTCCCAAATTGTCATCGTCCCACCGAGCCTTCAGATTCAGAAGCATAGAGTGTTCGGTCATGTACGTTGTCCCAGTATCACCGAACAATCATCTGCATTAGGAAGCTCCAATACTACTTTATTCTTCACCATACTCCTCCCGTATCATTACTCAATTAAGAGTGTCGACCGCTAATTACTGTTGTTACGGTATCGAATCCATATCTTTTCCCTGCTATAAGCTTTCTGACCGCAGCGAATACTTCTAATTTCACCCTTTTTAACTTTACGATAATCGTTACTTAATGTAAATTAGATTTCAGATTATTTTTCAATATCAATAAGTTTGTATTGTCAAATTTCTCCAATTGACTTACTATATCTAATAGTAAGATATGTTTACGAGCCAAAATTCATCAATGGACAGTTTGCGCTTTCTCATATCCTAACCCTACTGAATATCCATAAAGTAGTGATGAATTCATTTCTGTTCCTCATCGATGTCCACTTGATTAACATTTCGTTCAGAAGAACACGGTGAGCTTGTAAAGAATGCTTGTTTAGTCTATTCCCAACCGAAAAACCGAAAAAAAAAGCAATGCATGTTTTTGAAAACACGTAGTTTCCTAATCGATTATATTTCTGACTATACAACCACCTGTCGAATCGTTCATGACCATTAAAATTGGTTTAGCAATATGGTATATACATTGTCCACTCTTTCATCCTATTGCCATAAACGCTTTAATTCCTGAGTTATAAGATAGTATTTGTTGTTTACACACAGCAATAACCGTTTCCTTGTGAATTTCTTCCTTCATTATCAATTCCAAATTAATTCGAACTTTAAACTTCTTACACTCTCACTTTTTGTATTTTGTTGCATGGAAAGATTAATGATCAATTAACACTGAACTGGATGAGAACCAAAAAATAGTATTGTCCCATCACTGCTTTTAAATCATTATAGATAAAGGGAAGCGGATATCAGTAAATATTTCAATTGCAATTTCCCTATTAAATATATCAGAAATATCTCTCTATTTATTCATTTATTAGTTAGAATTATTATTTGAAACGATTTTCGCATTGATAAAGATTTTTGCCCAGTTACACCAATAGTTTCCAGCCTTTTTTTTTTGACCACGGACCACTTAACTATTTCTTTGTAGCAAAGATTACGAAGTTGTGAAATAATAAATTTGGTTAACTTAAAGATAAACATTAATCAAAACCTTCAACCTATTAGTTCACCAAATATTGATAAGAACAGCCCCCTGTGTTTTCTACTGGTGTTGCCACCATATTTTAGTTCTCGCGGAATAACGGTTAGAAATCATTGAGTTACCTATGAAGCTAAATTTAAATCACTTTATTGATCATTAGATCAATTGCCTGATCGATTTGCATATTGCTACTAGTATTAGTAGCAGTTGTCTAGCAATTTACCCGTATCAATATTTCGAGTTATCTCAAGTAACTGTTCACAGTGCGCAGTTTTTACGTCTGTTCTTCGCTATTCTTTGAAATTTTCTGGAAAAAGAAAAAATTTGCACAAAAATGGTGTAATTCATTATATTGCCTTCTGCATGAAACTTTTCGCTCGACTGATACCTTTTACTTATCTCCAGGAAATTGGTTTTCAAAGAATTGTTGCTTCTTAGCTTCAACTCTTTAAATCATTTTCAAACATTTGGAATTTTTGTTAATTTGCCCCGTTCAGTAACGGCTTATATTTATTGAAATGCAAAGATTTCGTGCTGTTATTGTTAATTCAATTAAATCTCAATTAAAATTTTCATCGAAATTATCGAATATGGCAATTGTCATTTTTGTTGGAATTAATTCAGAAGAAACTTTATCTGCAGTTATGTTATTTGAAAAAAAAAGTCTATACATTATCGATTACACATCAAAACAATCAGTCAAATAGCAAAATAATAAATTGATAAGTGAATGGCAGTTTGGGTTTAAAATGTACTGGCAACGAAATGATAAAATTTGAACTTCAGAAGACCCACCGTCCCAAACTTAAAACTAGAATAGATGAGAAAAACAACATACTTCACATTGCATTGTATTACAGGATTTCAAGATACATTATGAAATAACGTGGTACAATGCAACAACAGTAATTGCAATACAAAAGGGAATATATGCAAATTTAATACCCGACGTATTTTTCCAAGTTATTAGTTTGAGAAGTTAAATTTGTAAAATTTTTGGTGATAAATATACCATTCATAATGTATGAACAATACATGAACTGCTAAATAAACAGCGGCGATATTTGGGAAATCCAAATTTACAAGTTTTGTGCACCAATCAGATTTATAAGTAC